ACAAGGTCTGTGCTGTGATCAAAGGCCTGGAAGACAGAATCAAACAGAAGACTCCTCAGATTCTCTTCCAAAAAACAGTTAAAGAAAAAGAAGAAGAGCACAAAGAATGGAGAAGGGAGGAAATGGTAGTGAACCAATAAAGGCAGAAGTAAAAGCTGCCTACCAGCCGCATATATGAAATGCGCTTTTCCAAGACATATTTTTCATTGCGAATCTGAGCTTCCTATATATTAAAAACAAAACTAGCAATCAGTTAATTACATCAAATTTGGTAAGCACAGAAATGATTACATACATACAACAACCCCAGAAGATAATGACCATAATTTATGCAGATTTCACCTTGATAGAATAGTCAGCAAGATGCTTCCGCAACTGCATAATCTCTTCTTCGTGTTCCCGAATCTTAAGAATGAGATCCTATAGTTATACAAAATAAGGTCCACAAAACCTCAAAGCTCCATTTAGCAGATAAAAAACATTTTCTAATTAAACTTTATAAATCCATATATGTCAACAAAAAGTGTATTGTATGATCCTCAAATATAAATAGAAAAACAGTTTTCTAGAAAATATATTAAAATAACTTTTATTCTTTCAAAACTCATTTCATATTTTCACTATTGTTTTCATTTTCATCTACCATATACATTTTCATGTATGAACATATATTTGGAAAATAAAAAACTATAAAATATTCACGAACCAAATGGAACCCAAATTTTCTAAAAAGCACATCTTCAAGAGGCATGCAACAGTACCTGCTTCCATATACTGCTGGTGTTATTTACTTCAGCCATAGGCATCAGCCCATGCCCAGATGAATTATAGCGTTGATCATATTCTCCCTCTATTTGATGCCTAAGAAAGCAAAAACAGAATATTCTCTGAAATTGTACATATCCTTTACTCAGCCACTTGAAAAGAACATAAATAAAACAAAAAACGCTGAACATACAAAGACTTTTAGGACATTCTTTTATACAAATTGATGGCACAATTAATGTTGACTGAAAAAATTAAGTAATTTAACTAACACGGACCATTCATCTATACCGTAACATCAGCTTGTAAGTGATTTCTTACACAAATCTTTGAACATGTAGCAACTCATAGAATAACATACGGGCGCATAAGGTGATTATTGTTATTTAAACCTAATGCCTAATATAGACGAGGCACATGGCCAAAGTGCTCAGCACCAGTTTCCTATTCCTAAGGAACTTGGGTACAAGCCCTTGTGCAGGGCATTTACTGTATCAAAAAGAAAATTTGATTCCCAGTACCTGGTAGGAGAGAATGCTGTTGTAGATGGAGAAGATAAATGAAAAAGGCTAGCACTATCTACAGTTGCCTTCGATGCCCCGTTGACCTTTCCACTTCCAGAGTGGCTCTCAGAATGATTTTGCACAGCAGCAGCATCATCACTTAAGTTCATATCTTGGCGGACAACAAGCGTCTGTAATGAATCAGTAGTAGGTGTGCTGCCCATGTTCTTAATCTTATCATGTTGACTACTAAGAGAAGGAACTGCTTGATGAACTTCATAAGGTAAACAAACATGCTCATTCTGTTTATCAAAATGGTTAGGCCTTCGAGCGATTGGCTCATCTAATTTCTGCAAAACATCACAATGAAAACAAAACAACAATGCAAACAGATTTTTGACGGTGGTGAAACATAGGAGTTGCCAATTGATTCCACAAGGAGGGAATCTTACAACACAAAGATACTCATTTTTTTCACTTAATTAACCAGCCAAAATAGGTAAACTTACAAATTTTTCCAGTTCCTGAATTTTTTTCTGAAGCTCAGACCTTAATCGATTATTCTCTTCCACCTGTAAGGATGAAGTCAGAAATATCATAATATCTTAGGAAGGAAGAGAGATACAGTGTGATATCAGTACAAATACAAAGAAATGGA